CACTTGAGGGAAATTAACATGCAGGGCTACTGGTATCAAATAGGGTAACAGGACTGGTTGGATTGTTCTACAGAGACCAGGAACGGATTTGATAAGCCATTTAACCTTTTTCTGTGATGTTATGACCTTCCAGACAAAAAAGTTCACATTCAATAAAATTATGTTGAGTTATTTCTCAATGCGCTCTGCCCCCATACACATCGATAGTGTAAAACACTCCTCAGTCCACATTAAAAGCTCAGTGCTTGTTGAAAAAAATTACAATCGAAGCAGTAGGAAAAATACTGTTTTTGTAAAATGTGAAGCACAGTCAGCAAATTTTAACCAAATAACCAATGCAAAAGGTCTCAAGCTTATTTAAAAAAGAGATTTTGTTAATGCTATGATAGCCACAAAGAGTTAAATGGAAAAGCTACAGAACAATGTTACTATACCTCCAAATATCAGTAATTATTTTCTGGGCATACAGTTGGTTCTCCAGATTAAATTTATTGTTTGAATTCCAGAATATTTGGTGAAACAGTCACATTTTATATGCCAAAAGATGTGTTCTATTTAGTTAGAGTAAATAGACCATTTGAATAAAAAAAAAGTTTGCTCTTGTATTAAACAACAAGACCATTGTTGAATCTGGAAACTATTATCTGATTTTGAGTTTGATTTATTGTTGTCACGTGTACCGAAATACCAATAAAAAAGTGCGCTATGGTGGTCATTTGTTCCATTACCATTTTAACCAAACAGCTTTCCAGATCTACTCTCTGCATTTGAAAATCTCAAGATCTCATTTATCATGGATTCTTCCCAACATCATAAGCTATTGGGATCTTTAGTGCGGCCCACGCCAAATACTACAAATAGATTTGCCACGATACAAAGGCCGAATAGTCAAATTTGAGAACAAGTTACATTAACTGGATTTGTAGTTCAAGTTTATAAGTACAAAAGTGCTTTAATTGAATGTTTTACCATGAAAAAAACAGATTGGGTAGGCACAAACTATTTTCTTTAGCTGATTTACTCAACTACAATTTTGAAATTAAACTTTTATCAGTGAAATCAGGAAACAAAAAACAGTGAAATTCTGAGATTGTCTTCCTCAAAAGGCTGTGAATAGTTAATCAAAATTTGCAAGATGGAGATTAAAAACATTTCAACAAGCAAAATTTGGGGTATAAAATATGGAGTAATGACAGAAAATGTAACGGAAACTATGAGTGTTTCCATGGAAAAGGAAGCAAGATATCACAACTGGACTCTGCTCCTAAACAATGGGTGAGGCAGGGTGAGAAAGAAGTCAAGTAATGTTTCTACTTCTGACATAGCTATGGTCTTCAGACTGGAGGAGGCTTACGCTTGAATAAGCTGCCATTTGTGGTTGTATAACCTGGCACCACTCATTGCCTGCATTCACGTAGCCGCTACATCAAAGTAGAAATCAGCACCATCAGGGGCAAAAAAAAAAAGGAACACTTAAAAATCAAACATACCTCACAGGAAATTAGAACTGTATTTACTTGTTGAATGGGTAGGGTTGATGATTCTTTAAATGATGCCCAATCTTATTACAGATATGTTTTTGCTTCTTTGTGGTTTAACTAGACTTTGTATAAAGTTATTTGACTAATGGGATCTTTATGCTCTTGCAATTAATTGGTCATTTTTGATGTACTGAACTAATAAAAGGAATACACTATCCTCAATTAAGTTTTTTTATTTAGAGTTTAATGTTTCGTTAGGAATAAAGGTAAATGGATATCTTTGCACATTTAAATTGCATTGTTATTAAAATTAGACTTGAGCCAGTATGTGTCTCTATTTAAACAGAACACATTATGGATAATCAACAATTCCAATTAAGTGAGTTATAATTCGAATATTAATTTCCTTTTAATTAAAACTCTACGTATATTATTGCTTTTTTCAAGCAACACAGTTTTGCACCTTACAAGTGCCAGTTGCTGAGTATTTCTTTGTAGAATTGCTTTTCCAGCAGCCTGACAGCATACTCTTGAAGGGCAATTGTAAAAGGAGGTGGAATAAAAAAAGTATATTTATGCTTAACAAAATCAAATCTATGGAAGTGATGATGACCTCACGAAAAAAAAACACACCGGGTATAATATCTAAAGTACAAGTTTATCCTTTTTGAGAGGCTCTCAATTGACACTGCAAATGTTTAAAACTTCTAAAGTGCCAATATTTTATTGATTTCAAAGCTACCATGTCTTAAGCAAATGAATCATCACTTTAACAACGAGAGACACACTATTCCAACATACAAATGGGTGAAAACACCTTTGGAATAGGTGATCATAACTAGCTGGTAGTTGCTAACTAGAACTAGGGTTCCTTGAGGTCAGCCTAGCATGGATACACAATACACACAAATAAAGCAAACAAGTAGGGTTTTGGAAGCAGAGTAGTTTCAAACTGCCTCATATTCACCTCACTGCACAGAGGGGGAGCCTAGCAGGGAAGACAGTAGAGTGGCAATGGCAAGGGTTTCTTGGGGTAATTTGGGAGGCAGAGCAGAAATTAATCCAAAATGAAGAAGAAACATTAAGGGAGGATGAGGCAAATGTGGTTGATGAGGAAGCCAGGGACAGCATAAAAGTCACAGAAAAGCATGCAATGTGAAGATTAGTGCAAAGCCAGAGGATTGGGAAGCCTTTTAAAATCAGTAGAGGATAACAAAGCAGAATTTGGGTGGGGGAAGATGAAATAGGAGAGTAAGCTAAATGGTAATAAGAAAAAAAAACTCGAGGCAAGAGTGGACATTGGACTGCTGGAAAATGAAGCTGGAGAAGTAGTAATGGGAAACAACGAAATAGCACAGGAACTGAATAGGTACTTTGCATCAGCCCTCACAGTGGAAGACACCAGTAGTATACCAGAACTTCAAGAGTGTCAGATGGCAAGGGTGAGTATAGTGACCATTACTAAGGAGAAGGTGCTGGGAAGCTGAAGTGTCTGAAGGCAGATAAATCACCCTGACCAGACTGACTACATCCCAGAGTTCTGAAAGAGATAGTGGAAGAGACTGTAGAGGCATTGGTGGTGATCTTTCAGGAACAACTAGTTAGGGAGTATCCCAGAAGAGTGGAAACTGGCTAATGCAACACCCCTGTTTAAGGAGGGCAGGAAGCAGTAGACAGGAAACTATAGGCTACTTAGCCTGACCTCAGTAGTTGAGAAGATTTTTGAGAGTCCATCAAGGATGAGATTGAGGAGTACTTGGAAGTGCATGGTAAAATAGGGCAGAGTCAGCACAGTTTCATCAAGGAGAGGTCATGCCTGACAAATCTGTTGGAATTCTTTGGAGGTAGCAAGCAAGTTAGACAAAAGGAGACCCAGTGGACGTGATCTATTTGTATTTCCAAAAGGCCATTGGCGAGATGCTGCAGAGGAGGCTGCTAAACAAAATAAGAGCTCATGGTGTTAGGGACAAGGTACTGGCAATAGATAGAGGACTGGCTGACTAGCAGAAGGCACAGTAGGGATAAAAAGGGATCTTTTTCAGGATGGCAGCCAGTGACTAGTGGAATTCCACAGGGATCACTGTTGAGACCACAACTATTCAGGTTATTGATTAATCATTTGAACGCAGGAACTGAGGGCATTGTTGCTAGAGATTTGCAGATGACACAAAGATACATAGAGAGAGAGAGAGAGAGCGCAAGAGCGACACAGAGCGAGAGCGACAGACACAGTGTTGAAGAAGGAGGGAGGTTGCAGAAGGACTTGGACATGGTAGCTGAGTGGGCAAAGAAGATGCTGATGGAATTCAATTGGTAAAGTGGGAGGTTATGCACATTGGTAGGAGGAAGAGAGGCGTAGACTGTTTTCTAAACGGGTAAAAGCTTCAGATTTCTGAAACAAAAAGGACATGGGGGACCTAGTTCATGATTCTCTTAAGGTTAACATGCAGGCCCAATTAGCATTCATTTCATGAGGGCTAGAATACAACAGCAGAGGTGTTCTGCTGAAGCTGTACAAGGCTCTGGTCAGACTGCATTTGGAACATTGAGAGAAGTTTTGGACCCGATATGCAAGGAATATCCAAAGAAATGCTAGCATTGGAGGCGTTCCAGAGGAGGTTTACAAGAATGATCCCAGGGAAGGAGTATTTGTTGTATTTGGAGCAGTTGAGGGCTCTGGGTCTATACTCTATTGAGTTTAAAAGGGAGGGGGGGCTAGGGTTAGGGTTTGAGTTTAAACTTACAGAATACCAAGAGGCCTGGATATAGTGAAAGTTGATGATGATGTTCCCACTGAGAGAGACTAAGATCCAAGGGCACAGCCTCAGAGTAAATCGACAACCTTTTAGAACTGAGATAAGGAAAATTTTCTTCAGCCAGAGGGTGGTTAATCTGTGGAATGCATTGTTGCAGAGGGCTGTTAAGGCCAAGTCATTAAGACTATCTAAGTCAGATAGATACTCAGGAAGATGATCAAGGGCAACAGGGAAAAGGCAGGAGAATGGGGTTGAGAAACATATCAGCTATGATTGAATGCCAGATCGGATTTGATGGGCCGAATGGCCTAATTCTGCTCCTTTATCCTGCGGCCCTAAGGGCACTCAAGCAGGACTTCTCCTTAGTCAATCTGCTCCATTTCTTGTGCAAAGCCACCGAAGCATGTATAGCCTTGGTAGTAAATTTTGAGCTATTATTTTAGGACATAGTTTATAAATAGTAGGTTTTGCATTCATATAGTATCTTTCATAATCTCAAAGTCCTAACATGCTTGACAGCCAGTTTGTACACAGCTTATGTCCCACAACAGTAATGTCTTGATGATGACTGTAGGTGTTGGCAGAGAGATAAATATTAGCCAGTGTACCGCAGACAACGCCCCAGTTCTTCTTCAAAACGAGTGCTAATCTGATATTTCCTAAGATAAATCGCAGTTTGACATCTCATCCAAGCAACAATACATCAAATTGAAGGCATTGTGGGAATGAAAAATATAGTTGGTATTTTATGTGGATTCTTTACCTCCTCCAGGGCAGAGCTTTTTCTTTTCCTGGTAGATTTGGGCACTTTCATGGTGACCAAATTCCCACTTGATTCTTTCACTGAAATTTTGTTTGGTTGAAGAGGTGTTAATTGAATCTCCAATTGGGGTTTCGGAAACCGACTTGCTTTTTCTCCATTGTCTGTTGAGACTTCTGAAGAATCTAGGACAGTTTCCAACTGGATAACGAACAGACAGAAAACATTTCGAAAAAAAATAAATCAGTGAAGTTAGATGAAGCAGATGATTCTAATGCAGATAGCTTATGATAAAGTAGTGGATCCAAAGAAAAAACCCCAAATGGAACAAAGGCTTTTATTCAAGTTCCAAATGCGAAGTCAGCCCCATAGCAATGGGAGTTTCACCTTGAAGTAACTCCAGAGAGGCAGGTATCCCGTCAAGTTACCCTTCATTTACACTTGGAGAGTCCTTGACACTGATCCGCCTTCCTCAGAGCCAGCTCTCAGTGAACAGAACCTCTAACACTCCAGATTAACAGGCTCAATTAGGAAACTAATTCCATGATGTCCACCTGGCTGACCTAATTACAATAACTATGCACCTCTTAGGGTTTATAAACCAACTCAATATTCATTATCTTGTCAATTGTATGCTTATTGGGTCTGCAGATCGCAAAATAAGCCCATTTGATCTAATGCTCCCAGAATAAAAAGCCACCCCCTCTCCCAACCAACAAACTTGTGATTTCATCTATTGCTTTGAATGAGCACTTGTCTAAGCCAGCCAGGAGCATGTGTGCACAAACGTTCATGCACAAAAAAATTCACTCCTCACCTCGCCTAGGTTCTCTTTTGAGGAAGCCTTCAGTCTTTCTATTTCTTCATCTTTTTGTTTATTACTGGTTATAAGATCTCCAAGCTTCACTTCAAGCTCCTTTACCAAGTTGTCCCTCTCTTTTCGCCATTTCTGCAGATCCTCATCCTTCTCGATGACTTCAGATGCAAGTCTCTCCTTTTAAAAAAAAACAAATCAACTGCTTAAAATACTTGTCATTGCAATTAAATACACAAGTTACGTTTATATGGGAAATTTTTGTCCTTACTATTCCCAGCAAACAAATTAGTCACTGTCATCAAAAGTGACAGCCACTTTTGTTAAGTCTCACCAACAGCGAATGAGATTAACTAAAGATAATTTGCACAAATTGAGGAGTTACTATTGACCACGTCACTGACAGAAATTCTTAAATTTTATTATTGAACTCTTTACATCCACCTGACTGGGGAGATAAAGCTTCAGCTTAGCATTTTCAGAGCAGCTCTCTTATTCCTCAATACTGTCCTGAACAATCAACCCAAATTATAGTCTCATGCTGGGACATCCGAACTGACTCAACTGCATGACTCCATCATCACATGAGAAATTCCCATTAGTTTACAGGAAAAGGGATTTAAAGTGCAATGTAACTTGCTCTTCATCCCCAAAGGATGGATGCCACATGCAGGTTAGAACTAAAGATTTGAAGTGGTTCTTTCCCCAGCTGCATCGTTTGAGAAGTTAGAAATTAATCCATTGTCAGGAAATAAGCCACTGTCCTTGGTCCAGTGTGCAAACAGGCCACTTTTGTTATATGACGCTAAACCTGGCTAGGTGGTTATCAGCAGTCAAAAAAAAAAAAAAGGAACAATTTGGCCTTGTCTTGTTTAAAGGCAGAAGTGAAAGTATAGCCATTAATTGGACAAACAGAAATATAGAACAAATTAGCTTCATGAAAAGTTATGTAGTTGCGTATCAAGATCCTAGGAGTTAACTTTTGTTGGACTGCAAAGTCTACAATTCTGTTGAATACTGAAAGTTGCTTTAGTAGAAGCTGATGTCAAAATTTGGAATACATTTGATTGTAGGGAAAGTGATAGTGCAGTTGTAATGTACTGGCTAGTCATCCAGAGCTCCAGGCTAATAATTTGGGGACATATGTTGAAATTCCACTACATTGGATGGCAACATTTAAATTCAAAACCTACACAAAACAATCCACTACAAAGTCTAAACAAAGGAATGAAAACCAAAATGGACTATCTGGCATTGACCTGGGCATCAAATGACAACAGCAAACATAGCCCTGTTAATCCTGCAAAGTCCTCCTTATCAACATCTAGGGGCTTGTGCTAAAAATAGCACAGCTGTCCCAAGTACTAGTCAAACAACAGCTTGACAGTCATACACTGAATAATATCTTACAGAAAACCTCCCAGATACCATCATCATTGGGCATGTCCTGTCCCAATAGGAAAACAGGTGCATGAGAGGTAGTTGCACGGTGGTATACAGTAAGGAATTGTCCAGAGAGTGTCTTCAACATTGACACCAAACCACAATGCATCTCATGGAAACAGGTCAAACAAGGAAACCTTCTGCTGATTAAAATTAGAAGGTCAGAACTGCTCCGTGTTGAAACAACAAGGGTACATAAAGTACTCTGGGTGGTGGATGTCAATGGCCATCAAGAACGGGTTGATTGCATCTTACAGTTGAGGAAATATCCAGAGAGCAGGTGATAGTTCTATGCAACTTCTTTGAACATCCTCTGAACAACTTTTCAATTTGAAAATCAAACCAAGATGACACAGTCCTAGAGGACAAAGTTTGTTTTCAGCAATTGGCAAGGTAAGCAATAAAATTTATCTGACAGGTAAATCTGTTGGTGATTGTATTGATGGCCATTGTCCCCATGATTACTGCATGCAAAGGTCCCATTTTCACATTGTGGATAACTTCAAATGTTGTGGTGGCACCATATTAAAATGGGACAGACTGACTATCTGGCAACTAAAGGCTAGACATTATGAAACATCCTTGGTTGTCAGCAACAGAATTGTATTTAATCACAATCTGTAGTCTCATGGCTTGGCATAACCTCATTCTACTTTAACTATTAATCTGGGAGATTAACCCTGGTTCAAGGAAAAGAGTGTGTTGTGGGCATACCATCAGCAGTATCAGGCACACCTAAAAATGAGAGGGCAATCTGAAGAAGACACAAACAGGACTACTTTTATACTGAACAGTGGATGAAGCATGCAATAAATAGGACTAAACAATCTCTCAACTAACAGATGAGGTTTAACCTCTTAAATCCTACCACATCTAGTCATGAACAATTAACAGGAAGAGGAAACTCTAAGTATCTTCATCCTTAACGGATAGGAGAACTGAGCATATTAATACAAAAGGCAAGGCTGAATCATTTGCATCTGACTTCAGCTGGAGGTGTTGAGTGAATCCATCCTAGTCTCCCGAGGTCCCCTCAGGATCTCAGATGCCAATCTTCAAAATCTTCCACTATCAAAAGTAAAAAGGTGAAGACACTGGCTACTTAAAAGGCTATGGGCTCAGACAACTTTCTGGCGGAAGTACTGAAGCCTTCAACTGCCAGTTCTAGCAAAACTATTCCAGTGCACTGCAACACTAGCATCTACTGGGTGACGTGGAAAATTTCCCAGGTATATTCAATTCACAAAAAGCAAGACAATACAATTGGGTCAATTACTACTCTATCTGCATACTCTCAATGAGGAAATAAAAAAGATGGAAGGGACTATCAAGCAGCATTTGCGGAGAAATAGGCTGTTTGCTGATGCTCAGATGGGTTCCACCAGTGCCATTTGACTCAACACATCATTAGAGTTGGTCCAAACATGGATGAAAGAGTTAAACTGCAGAAGGATAAAGTGACTGTCCTTAACCTCAAGACAGCATTTGACCATTATAGCATCAAGAAGCCCTAGCAAAACCGCGGTTAAAAGGGAATTGCAAGGGGAATTCTGCTGTGTGAAGTCATACTAGCACAAAAAGGAAAATACTTGTGGTTTCCTGGGGGTCAATTAACTCAGCCACAGGACATCACTACAGGGAGTTCTACAGGGCAGTGTCTTTGACCCAAACATCTTTGTTTGCTTCAATGACCTTCCCTCCAACATGGTGTTCAACGATGAACCTTGTGCATTCTCAAATCTTCAGATACTAAATTAGCCAGCACCCAAGGTGAACTGGACAACATCCAGGCTTGCACTGATAAGTAGCAAGTGACATTTGTGTCACAACAGTACCACAATGGTATTGATTCAAGAAGGCAGTTAACCACCACCTGCTCCAGTGTAATTATGGATGGACATATTTCATCAACGAATTAAAAAAATGGAACTTAATGCAAGGTGAAAAGGATGAAAATCTGCAAAATGCATTGAACACAAGACATTTCAAAGGTTTACGATACAGCACCTTTAAATGTTCTGTCACCGCACCTCACAAAATGATTGCGTTGATTCAATTTTGTTTCAAACCATATCTTCAATGTGAAACTTGAGACTTTATTCTTTGAAATAAAACTTTTCTTTAAATTTAAAACTGCTGCTTAAAATTTGTTATCAAACTATATTCTGTGAATAGTGTAACGAATGCAGACTTCGGAATCGACTTTTGTAGAAATTAAAAATGACATTGCCAAATGAAATTTTAAGTTGATTAAGATCGGAATAAGTTTTCTGTACCATTTCTAATTGTAATTTCGAATAATGCTCTCTTTCTTCTGTCCATTTTCTCATCTCCTTGTTGCGCCGATCTTCAGCTTCCTTTGCTTGTTTAAGGAGCACCATTTTTTCATTTAGCCATTTCTTCCGATTACATTTCTGCTCATCTTCCAATTCCTAAAGAATTTAATCAGGTTTCACCAAATTTTAAATGATTAAATGTTTAAAAATCAGCAAAGCAAGCACAGGGTGAATTGTGAGCACTGTCACAGTTGCAATACTGTTATACTTTAACGTTACAAGAAAGTTTTTTTAAAAAAAATTAAACGGAACAAGCAACAGCAGTATTTAATTCTTAAATGATCTCATGATCGTAGTGAACAATGGGGAAAAAAGCCTGAGAGAACAAAGCTGAATTTTCCATTATACAACACAAGTTCCCTTAAACTCACCTTAAAATGTGAGGTGACTATGTTAGATTTACACAACAGAAATATCAGAGATGAAGATGACATAATGCAAAAAATTCAAATTAATTTTAAATTTTTTTCATGGTAACCATCAGAATGAAACACTGACCAATCATATCAGGTGGGGAATAAAGAGAAACAATTGAGAATTCACTTCCATTTCTAGATGACCCTGATAACAGTTATTATACCCAAAAGGCACTAACCAACAACCATTACCATGGTATTTCGTTGTAACATGTTCATTTTTTTTTAGAAAGGTGCTTGGCGACACAGTCTGATCAAAAGTTTCAATTGGCTTGTAAATTAATTGTCTTTTGTTGAATTACAGTTCATTTTAAAATTTCACATGTTGATGTCCAGCTTTGATGAAAAACTATATATAGTGTAACTGAATCCTAAAGAATATTACTTCAATGTGCATACTGTTAACTCATATACCTGTCATATCTGAATCTATCAAATGATAAAACAATTCTGAAATCCTTTACTCACCAGGTCAATTTTAAACTGAAGCACAAAAACTCCTCTAGTATTGAAAACAATAAATCTTCAATTTTAAATATTCCAAAATATACAGTATTACAATTTACATTAGAGATTTCTTCTGAATACTCAAGTTTATGTAAGCTTATTAATATCAATATTAACAACATTTGTTTTATAGATTTCCTATATGCAGCATAGTGGCTCAGTGGTTAGCCTTGCAGACACTAAGCACCTGGAAACCAGGTTCGATTCCAGACTCAGATGACTGTGTGGAGTTTTCATATTCTCCCCGTGGATTGGCTATGCTAAATTGCCCGTAGCGTCCAGGGATGTGCACATTAGGTGGATTAGCCATGGGAAATGCAGAGTCACAGGGATCGGGTAAGGGGTGAGTCTGGGTTTGATGCTCTTTGGAGGGGCGGTGTGGACTCAACATATATACATCGTTACAATGGTAACTACAAAAAAAAAAAACAAATATATCTTCTTGTAATGTGAACAGAGGGACAACTGCAGCTATTTCTCCCAGCTGTCAATGCCACCTCAACTGAAGACTTGCTTTCATCTCCATACATGCAGTGCTACAGATAAATGAGTTGAATATTGTTTAATAAAATTCCTATCCATAAATTATTTTAGAAGAAAAAGAGAAAAAGGTTAGAGAGTAGAAAGAATGAGTGAAAGGAAATGTGATACAATTAGAGTTTTTCACAACTTCAAGCCATCCCTTAGCACTTCAAAATACTTAACTGACTGTAAAATACAGTCACTACTGAGAACTGCTGGCAGTCATCAATTCCAAAGTTAAAGGTCCCGTTAGGTACAGTTTTAGTTCATTCTATCCTAGGGATAAATAATCATACAAACACTGGAGAACTCATCGGTTCTTATTCAAATAGTGCCATGGGGTCAGATATGTCCACCTGAGCAGCCAGGGCCTCAAGTTTAGTATCTCACCCAGAAGGCAGAACTGTCAAAAATGCAGTATATTCACAATAATAATGGCATAAACTAATCAGTGTCAATGGTGTACTCAAGTCTAGAATAAGAATTGCCTACAATTTCCACCTCACAAAATAAACAATGCTGCTACTGATCCAATAATCAGAATACATACCACCAACTGCTGCTTTAAATCTTCAATTTCTTTCTGAAGTGGTCCAGATTCTGTATTGTGACCTCCACTTGCATTTTTCAACAACTGGCCGCGTTCAAGTGTGTTATACTTCCTCTCAAATTCTTTGGCACACTTTATCCACTTCTCTAATTCTAAAAAGGAAACACAGTTAGGTGGCTGTGCAATTCTTTTATTAAAATGCAAAATAAAGTGCTCTCGTTATAAAAGCTTTAGAATACAGTCTTCTCCACAGAACAGCATACAAGCACAAATCAACTATCAAGAGTCTGATGAGAACAAGTTTCTGCCAAATTTTAGATAAATTTTTTTTGAAAAGTCTGTCATGGCACTTAAATTTCACACAGCAAAAACAGAGGACTCATCCTGGCTGGTTTACTGTAGTTAAATCTTAGAAGACCCACTGTTAAGACAGCGTACAACTTGCTCCCCTGTTGGTTACAATCGATGTTTGCTCGCCTCTAATTGTTAGTTGTGCAGCTATTTAAATATAAAAATAGTACACAAACAGATTTTCCACTTTGCGTGCTATTTCATGGGCAACAACCGTAAATGAAAAATTCCTCATACAGATATAATAGGGCAATTACCTGCATTCAATTCTTCAATCTCTTTCAACTTGGCCTCAAGAGCTTCATCTTGCTCAGCTTGGGTTTGATCTTGTTCAGTTAATGCAATTTTCATATCTTTAATTATTTGTTCTTTTATCTGAAGTTCTTGACGTAAATCAGAATAGACAGTCAACAATTTCATTGTAACAGAATTTGAACTCAAATTTTGAAATAACCGTTCAATAATTAAGGAGGTAAAAAAATTATGCAGTGGTGACTAAACCTGAAAGGTATCAGGATGACAATTGAAACATTATTGATATAACCTGTACATTAAAAGCTTGAAATTTCCAAAAGCTAAAAATTAAAACCAGGTTACAATTTCCACAGGAGTAAATTTACTTTACATTTTGAAAATGTAAAGAAAGAAATTTGCCATGTTTAATAGCAACCTACTTTATCAGCACAAGCTAAAATTTGAATCTATAATAGTAAGATAAAGAAAAGCATACACTTGTCACAGAAATCATTGAAGTCTCCTGAACTCATTGGTGTGACTGCTCTGAAATACGCATGTACAAGTTAAATGTTCTGTTTGTTGAAAAATGGGTAGAAAGTGACAGATCTACTGCCCAGATTTTCTCCAAGCTTAATGCCGTTTGATTATAAAAGGGTGTTTGAAGTGGAATTTTATGCACGTTGCACTAAAATCACATGTTAACAGATGAATACTTTGCATAGTAACTTGGCTAGGTTGAGCAGAAACGAAGGAAGTAAAAACACAAACTTATTTGCTATTAACGTGCCTTCATTTTTTCAACAAGCTTTTAAGCAAACTAGGCTAAAAGCAATACAAGTTTAATACCTTAGCATCTGAATAAAGCAGGAAGCATCGAATGACATTTAATTTGCACATTCTTGTTCTTTAAATACCTTTGGAAGCTGTTTGCAAAAGATGTACAGCTTCTTCTGCTTTGCTATCAGTTAACATGATGCAGGAATCCTGGGTTGCTTGATTTTCTTTGGAGCCCTGGATACCAATAAAGCAATGCAAATATCAACAGAAATGCTATTCTGCCAAGAACAGCTTGTGTAAAGAAAGTAAGAACTAGGTTTAAGAACACAGGATTTCAAATCTGGGCGCAATTTAAAACGAAATAAAATTCAGTAACAAGCTGCAAAGAGATAATGACTTTGTGGTTAAGAGATTAAAAAGAAATTGCATGCTGCTTTTTGAGCTCAGTTTTTTATACTTAAGCATTTCAATGACATTAGTTGTTTATCTAGGTAACCTCTGCGACCATGCTGACCTGTTGCTCTTTCACTTGGTGTAGGCTGTTACATTCTTCCAAATTCTTTGCCAATTTCTTTAAAGCGGTCTCCTTTTCATCCAAGGAGATTGTTAACAGTTCTATCTTCTTTCTGCAGTCTGCTTCATTATGACATGACTAAAAGCCATAAAACATTAATATATTAAAATCTTATGTATTTAAATGAAAAGAAAAAAAGAAAAAAGCTGCTAACATGATATGAACATGGAAATAACCACAGATTTACTGCTCGTGTTGTTATTGCATAACCAAGGTGGGTAGGTGGGGAATAAATAGATCTGTCAACTTGCATGCCCATGATATATCCACTAAGTAATTGCCAATTTCTGGTCTTCATTTTCTCACATCCTCCTTGTACAACAATGCTGCCACTTCTGATGGCTGCAAACACCAGTCATCACTGAGTTCTTGGCCTTGAGAAATCTGAATACCTACTGAAAAAGCAGCATGCAAATGGCTCCTTAACAGGCTCAATTGCCAAATAGACATTCTCTCTATCAGCAGCCTAGTTGGGAACAGTTATTTTTTTTTTAAAAATTCATCCATGGGATGAGTGCATCACTGGCTAGATCAGCATTTATTGTCCATCACCATTCTCCCAGAGGGCAGTTGAGAGTAAACCACATTGCTGTGGGTCTGGAGTCACATGTAGGGGACGAGGTAAGGATGGTAATTTCCTTCCATAAAAAAGGGCATTAGTGAACCAGATGGGTTTTTCTGACAATCAATAATGCTTTCATGGTCATCATTAGACTTTAAATTCCAGATTTCTATTGAATTCAAATCATACTATTTGCCATTGTGGGATTTAAACCTGTGTCCCCAGAACATTAGCTGGATTAGTAGTCCAGTGATAATAATACTGTCGCCTCCCCATTAGGTCAGGCTTCCGTTCCAATGCATACCCTGGTATTTTTCCAGCTAAGTTCCTCATGTACAAGAAAAAAATAAATTCCAACCAGAGTATTGAAAAGCACAGGAGAATCTTGATAAAACTTTGAAGACTATACATGTAGAAGTCTAGGAACAGCACAGAAAGCCTTCAAGATTAAGTGAGTCATTAAAATTAACATGATAACATAGAAGAGGAAAATATTAGTAGAACAGCAACTGAAGACCCACTTTAAAATTTGATCACCAGTAAAATAGTGTGGAATCTTTCTAATTGTTAACAGTCAAGCTATGGATTCTTCTCTTCTCCTCATTTAGCCACTCAGAGTAGCATTTATTTAATAAGCAGTTAATACCTTCCTAATCTGTTGGATCATCCGTTCTTTAGCCTCAAGTTCCTGAGACATTTGATTCTTCATTCTGTCAAGTTCCTGAACTTTGTTTCTCAGAGATGTTTCCTCCTCACGTTTTGTAGAAATCTGAAAATTTGAAAAATAGCAAGTGGATTTTTTTCTTAAAACTAAAGTGAAAGTGAGGCAAAAGTGAAATTAGAAGCAATGTTGCTGAAATTTTCCTGTTCAGGATGGAAAGAAGGAATTGCATCAATACAGAAGTGAGGGAGAATATCTGGTGAGGACTGGAACAAAATATGCTCTATATATTGTGTGAAAAGATGGCTGTTGCTAAGAGCCGCACAGGTTCCCCTTTTTAAATATGGAGAAAGTCAGAGTCAGAAAGGAGATGTTCCTCAATGTGAAAAGATTGGCCAGACGGACAGAAAGTATTGCATTGGATAAGGACTGGGCATTTATTTAAGGAAGTTGAGAATCTTGGGCTATTTGGTTGAGAATGGAAGTGTAAAGGGGTTCAAGAAAACCCCTCAAAATGTATCAGTTCAAAATTACTAATGTTAAATTGCATCTGTCTACTCAAAGTGACAGTGTTGGTTCTGAAGAGAGAGAGTCTGGGTAATGGAAAAATACGAAGACGGCAGATGAATTGAACAAATGTGTGAGCTCAAATCTAGAGCAGCGTACACAATCTTGGTCTCTTTAGGGGGTTGGTTAGCTCCAATGACTGGGACAGTTGGTTTGCAATGCAGAGTGACACCCACAGCATGGGTTCAATTCCTGCAGTGGTTGAAGTTATCATGAAGGACACTCCTTTGCAACATGCCCCCTGGCCTGAGGTGTAGTAACCCCCAGGTTAAACAACTACCAGCTAGTCAACATATTGTGATTGCCAACTTCTTTGTTCAGCTCTGTTAAAGAGGAGATTTTCTGATTAATTCTCATTTAATGCATTCAGTAATCTTTTCTCTTGACAGAAGCCTAATGTGCAATTCCAGCACTTTCTGTTCACATTTCAGGTTTCCAGCATTTATTTTATCTCAAAATCACAGAACTTACCTCCTTCTCTACCTGTTGCATCTGTTTCTTGGCATCTGTATATTTCTCCTTGAGATCACTGTATTCTTCATCTTTATTTTGCAGGTCAACTGCCAATCTTTGATATTTTAAGGAGACATCAGAGAGCTCACTTCTTAGCCTTTGATACAGCAAGCAAAATTTAAACTTGGTAAGAATAGTTTTAGACAAAAAAAAAGGAAAAAATAAACCACTGGTAGAACACAGACTAAACCATTCAATGTTTAACTATGTTTCCTCCCAATACTTGTAACAACAAGGGTAGACAGTTTTCAAAGGATGAATAGAAATTTCAATATCAGCACACTGACACGTAAACCACTTGCACATCACTATAGAAGTTGGGAGTTCGTAAATTAACAGCAATTCCACATCAGGTGCAGTTCACAAAGCACAAAAAAGGCGTCACGTCCACACAAAGAGAATGCTGCGTTGGTAGTGAACTGCAAGAAAGGAATCCTCCACTACAAGGTAATATCACCACACTGTCAGGTAATATTATGGTGGGAATTTGAAATAAATACAGCAAAGTACTAGAGAAACCCAGCATATCAGAAATGGTTGGTCAGTATGGCAGGCAGTGAGAAAGTAGTTGTGTTTACTTTAGCAACTGTCACAAGGAGTATGAGTAATTACGAATTTTGGGGTATTTGAGTGGGAGTCAGTAAGAAAGAATTACAAATAGAACCAATGTTCAGAACTACAAGTCCAAAGAGCAGGAATTAAAAATTGTCAGATCTGTCTGATAAATTATCCGAAGAAAAGTAGGTAGTGGAATCTGCACAGTGGAAGACAGCACACAACAGAACATACTTGAGCAGTTTTGGTCTTACAGAACTGGAGAAGCAAGCACATGGCTTTGCCAGACTTGCTGGATTCTCAACTGTAAAAGTAGCCAATACACAAATGGTTCTGGGGGCACCGCGTTTTATTGTTTGGGCAATGGATCACAGTTGAAAGGGTTACCACTTCTGAATACAGTATCACTTCACAATAGGTAGCAGGTGGTTGAAGAGCAACAGGCACGCAACGGGGGGAATACTACCATCCTGAGAGATGATGGCAAATTTGAAATTCATTAAGCTACCGCTATATGCTCCACCCTTCTAAAGAAGAGCCTCTTACTAGAGTCAGATAGTTAATTTGAAATCACAGTTTAAAAGACTCAATTTAAATTGAGATTTTAGTGGAGAACAGGTGTTTTGCTTCATTGTTGGAGACTATTTTAATGAGGTACAGGTTTACTCTTTCTGCTAGCTTACTTGGTCCCCAGGTCACAACCTCATTTTTGTAGCAATTCTGAAATTGACCCAAGGTACACAAAGTTAAAATCATCAATGCACATTGGGACCAAAGATGAGTACAACACTGACCCCAGAACGCCATGTCAAAACTATTAATTCCTCATACCCATTTCCAATCCACTAAATCAACATTTTAATCCATGCTACAACATTTCCTCGTACATTGTAGCTCCAGGACATCTTATGGAAGTCTTGTGTTGTACGTGCCAGTGCAAATTGATCACTGTGGCCACTACATCTACAACATTCATCCTATGGAACAAATTGCATGAAAATTTTCGTCATCTTATTATATTATTTCAGCACTTAGGATATTGTAACCAAACCATTTCGGGGTCAGCTAAATGTTTCAGAACCAACTTCTGTTTATGGTTGTTTTTATGATTGCTCCATATCTTTTAGCACAATTATGATCATACGTCCAGTCTATAGTGACAAATGATGCAAAATATTAGAATTTATAGTAAATTCATCTTCCACAGTCAGACTTTTCCTACAGTCCTACAGTCTAAAAGTTCTTTTAAATTTTGGAAGACCAAACACAAAAAAAGTGTTACAATTTCTTTCACATCATTGCAAGCCATCTCTCTACACACCTCCTGCAAGCTGCCTGCTGTGATTGCTGCACTGCATTTATTATGGAGCCTAATGGGGACAAACTAGAGAGATTAAAAAAACCTATAAAAATCAAAACAGATTCAAATATTAAAGCAAGACAGATGGACTAAGCCAACATTAAGGTTAGATGATTTCAAAAATGTTGTGTGAAGAGATTGTAATGCAGTATCAGATTTCTGTACTCCTTACCCTCACTAGGCCAAACCAGACATTTTAATGGTTATCTTGTCCAAATAGTGCTGCTAGAATTATGGATAAAGTAATTGTACTATCAAGTAAGAAACTTCAAAGCACTTACTGAACCAATTCTAATTGTTTACTTTCCAGCTGTTCTTCCTTCTGGGATAAGGTTTCCTTTAAAACATGCCAATCATTTTGAGTTTGACTGACTTCTTCGTTAAGTCTAATTTCTTGCAGTTTCAAGTCACTAACACATTTTTCCAAGTCATGAAATTTCTTTTCTGCTTGTTGCAAATTATTTTGCAAATTTGCAATGATGTTATCTCTCTCATTCAATTGTTCTTCACATCTAGTTAAATTATCTTCACTTTTTAAGATTTTTAACTCCTGAGCTTTTATTTTATGTTGGTAATCTTCAATTTCTTTGCGAAATTCTGCAATACTTTCTTTGCTTTGTATTAAAGTTTGCATTTTACTTTCAGTTTCTTCAAACTTGTCTTTCCACTGCTGAAGGTGAGCATCTTTCTCTTCAAGCAAATTCTGAGCTGAAGCAGCATTTATTTTTAATTCAATACATTCAGTTTGCAGATCTGCCATTTGTTTTTTCAAGGCCTCAATACTTAATTCTAGTTCTCGAATTTGAAGGGTTTTTTGGCATGAGATCTTTACAATATGCTCACACTCCTTTTGCAGTGTTTCAACGGTTTTACGAAATTGACCACTATCTCGTTTTTGCACCATATGTTCTGATGTATCTAGTTCATATCTAAGCACAGATACTCGATTCTGTAGCGACTCAAATTCAGTCGTTTCCTTCAGAGACTCTCCCACTGCCCTTTCCAGGAAATCCTGGATGTTTTTCAGACCCATAGCACACAATTCTGATTCCTTCTGGAAATCATTTAACTTGCTTATTTTTTCTTCCAAAGCTTTATTTTGCAGTTCTCTCTGTGCTATTTCACGCCTACCTAACTCTGTCTCAAGTTGGAGCTGTTTAGTTTTGTCAGAATGTTGTTCGTTCAATTCCTTTTCAGATTTGAACTCACACAGCAGTTTTTCGTAATTTGAACATTGATTTGCATTCTCTTCAGTTAGTTTCAAAATGGTCTCAGCTGAAGAAGCAAGCTCCAATTGAAGGTTTTTGACCTGTTTGTTCAGTCTTTCCCTGGATGTATGTTCATTGTGGAGTTCCTCTTTGGATGAAGCCAATTGTCGATCTAAAGACTGTATTTCTCCTTTTAATGTCATTAATGTCCTCTCTTTATGAAGTAGTTCTTTTCTTATTTCTTCAGCTTTCTCTTCTAGAGTCTTCACATTGATACAGCCTTTGTAGCCTGGACCTACAAAATGAAAAAAAGTTGCTCTGCATGTTTCTATTTGTTAGATTTTTATTTGTTCGCCGCTTAGTAGTCAAACATACGTTAAAACAGGATTTTAGGTTTTAAATTTCATGAAATGCAAAATTTAAGTGGACTTTTCAAAGCTCCCTTTTTTTCAAACTATACAAAACGTACACATTGCTTTCCTTTTGATTTGTATGAAAACTGGTTGGTTAATTAAAGGCCAGAGCCCTAATGAACAAACAAAGGGATAGAGGGGGTTCATATTTTTGAGTCAAGTTTACCATGGCAGGACGACAGCATCTTCAAAATTTTGTCAAGCTAGACATTCTGAAACTAGTCCAAAATACAAGTTCTCTCTGTGTGTATAGTAAATTATTTCTCAAAGTGAAATTGTACTAAATCCAAAACCACTATTATAGGCACAGGTAGAACACAGACAACATCTTTCAAACAGTGCAAGTTCCAATTAGAGACATATTGCCATCCTGCTCAGCACTGCAGTAAGTACACAAAAATAAAGCCCATAAATTTACTATGGCTTTTCCAAAAAAAGGAACCATGAAGCCTTTTTTGTTTGGAAGAACTGGTCATCCTGCAAAGAATATTTTATTGGAACAAATTTTCTGGTATCTGTGATATTGGAGATTGGACACAAGTTGAGAAATGCATGCCAGGACCTGGCAAAAGTTTCTGACATTCATGTCCGTGCTAAAATAGCCCAATAAGTTTAAACCTGATGGGTTGATGTTCACTGTCCTTCATAACCATCTCTGAAAATCTCAAATGGAGCTCACTATCAAAAACTTGGGCCAGATCATATCATCGGAACTGCCTAAATACTTATTCTTGACATACCATTTTAGTTAATAGCTGGTCTAACTCTGATCAGCCAGTGCAATTGAACTCAGAACCTTAAAACAATCCCAAACACCAACCACCTCTCTGCCCGCCCATAAATTTTACCGCAACTTGAAATGCCCAGTATAAACAAGATGCACAACAGATGGCATTGTTTATCAGCAGCCAACTGAACTGGGTATGCAAAATTCAAGCAATTAATATTGAGGTTTTAATGTATTTGCAGTAGAACACAAGTCCACAAATTGTGTATGTAGTCAAGAAGTAGAATTTACAGACCTGTTTTTCGTAAATCTACGAATACTTTGCTGCTCTTTGACCAGAAAAGTCTAGGAGCTTCTCTAGTATCATTCCTTTGTACCAACTTACATCAAATCATTTCAATACACGGGAAAGTGGTACCTTTCTTGGAAGGCGGCTGGTCTCTCTTTTCAAAGGAACTTCCAAAATTACATTTTCTACTAGTAGTTGAAGGATTTTTCACTAGTTCTACGCTCATATCTTCAGTACTGCTACCCATTTCCAACATTCCTTGAATGTTTTCAATGGTTGCATCCTAGGAGGAAAGAGTTATCATGTGCAATTGTTTTTAATACTTTGGAAGCAAGATTTTTATACCATTTTCATAAATAAAAAATGAGGTAAAGCTAAGGGTAAGTCTTGAATGGAAATCTGATGTAAGCAAAAGATGCCTTGTTGTAAAATTGCGCCTTGGGTTATGGCTGTAACAAAGTGAGCAGCTACAATGGAATAATTTAACAAAATAGCAATTTCCAAACTCGTTAATGAAAGAGAGGGGCAGGTGTAGATTTGTCAAAAAGGACCACACATAGAAAGTTATAGACTGTTCAAGAGACAAAGTGCTAGAGGGTGTCCTAAAAGGAAAGTGCAAATGACCCATCTGGAAAAAACTGAGGGAGTTAGCACAACATTTCAAGAAAGGAGACACGTGGTGTTTGGGGGAGGAGGGTTAAAAATTCTGAATGAAGAGTCAATTTTTAAAATGATATATAGCAAGGACTCCATATCTTTCAATGAGTTGTCAAATCTTTTCACACAATCACTTTATTGGCAAACTAGGCTGCCTTTAAAAACATTCCCACAATATGTAAGATTACACCAAGTTCAAAGAACAACTCCTTGTATTTGCGTATGGCTGCTCACATTTGAGGGGTTTACTAGAGAGAATTTATTAAATAAAAATATGTAATAATAGGAGAAAAATTAATCAATCAAGTGCACTCAAGGAATCCGAATGAAAGGCAACTGAAGTTTTTTTTTTTCTAAATGACGCAGGCAGGGAGATGAAGAACAGGCCTACAAACCAGAGGCATAGCAGCTAAAAGAGGAGGAATAATGGATGTAAAATATCAGATAAATGGCTGAGTTTGAGTACCAATGGTACTCAATGGGTAGCACAAGATAACAAAAGCAGTCTATAGAAAAGATGCCAGGGCACAAGCAGGCAGTATTATTATGAATATAATTCTATCATCATTGCAACAGAGAAAATGGGAGAAAAGAATCTTGATTTAGAACTAAATAGCAGTCAGATTTGACACCAATGGATGTAGCACAACAGCAGTTAGATGGTTGGTAAAGTTAGAAGGAGAAGACATAGAAGCTAAAGAAAGACGTCAGTTTTCCCTCAGGAGCAAATCTAGATTCATTCAAAGATTATATCATGCAGCCATAAGGAGAGTTCAGTGCAGCGTTGGCATTAAAGGAGTCAGAAAAATCCATAGAGTGTTATTTAAAATTTTAGCTGTGAAAACAGGCATAATTAATGCCATTATGCTTTGAACGTAAATCCAAATGAATGAAGAGACCGAAGGCTCTTAAAACAACAGGGACTGTGGACTTGGTGGTTAAAACCAAAAAGAGGCAAAGTCTTAAGACAAATAATCATACAGTGCTAGAAAAAAGGCTCTGCTTGCCAGTCTTGGCTCAATTGCTTCCCTGGCAATAACTTTCTGTACAAGCAGTAGCAAGGATGAGAAAGTGCTAAACCCCTGAACAACCATGGTTGGTCATCACAACCACTTTGCCATTTTCCAGCAGACATGATTGACCCTTATCCTATTTCCTGAAACAAACAAATAGGGAGAGAGATATTAAAAACAGAAAAGAAAATAAAAAGGAATAGAAAGTGTAAAATGAAAAGTAAAGTAATGAGAGGACAGGGAGTTACTCCAAATTGAAACAAATTTGTTATTTTTCACTTTAATTTTATTTTGAACCATTAATTTGAAGGTTTAGAGTTTTCACTTTGCTTAACTATTAATTTGCTTGTCAATTTTAATTCCCAAAAGGTACCATTTCAAACTTACGTAACTTTCAATTCGTTCTTCATAACTTGCAAGCAGATTTTTCATTTTATTCAGATCAGCATCCTTGAGCTCCAAACAGTCTTTCAAGCATTGGATCTCTTCATTCTGTTTTTTTTGAGTAAAAGAATATCAAAATATCATTACATAAAGGATGTTTTCTTCCGATAGGTAATGAAATAAAGCACCACTGCAATCAGGATTAGTTAGATTATTAGTACTGGGTTAAATGTTAGTCTGGTCAGAGCAGTCCAGAATACTTGTTGTTTATTTCAAATTTGCTTGCTGCTAAAAGAATAAGAACGAAGCCAGAGGAAAGAGAAATAAAAAAAACTGACCCTTGATGGATATGCTCACTTGATTTTATGGAGTACAGATGGTTCAGAACATTTAAACAGTAAGTAATTGATATCCTTGGTAAAAACAGTTTGAAGCCTCAATTTGTAGACGATGTAAAAATGTAATTGATAAGATTTTTAAAATTATAGCAAATCAATGAAAATGGAGATTCCCAAGAATAGGGAAGAAAAGGGGCAAAGCTAGATCATTCAGTCCCTCGAACTTGCCCAGCCCTTTAGGATCAGAGCTGGCTTTCTGCTTTAACACCACTTTTCTGCTAGTGCCCAGTCTCCAAATCTCAATTTCCTGTGATACCAGAAATCTGTCTCAGCCTTAAATAGATTCAATGATAGAACACCCACAACATGTTTCGGTAGGCAATTTTAAAGACTGTCAAGAAATTTCTCATCTCAGTCCTAAACAAATCAGTCCTTTATCTTGCCCATGCTCTCTATATATAAAAAAGCTCTCACGATCAAGCAACTTCAGAATCTTGAATATTTTGATGAAAACTTTTTTCATTTTACTAAACTCTAGAATATAGTCTCAAATTTAATCAGCCTTTCATCACTTTTGAAGTGAATATCCTCACTTCTTCACAATGTAATCCAACAGCAACATTGTTGCTTTAGCACACAACCTATTACTCCATGCAGCCTCTGTCCTCTTTAACTGGCAATCCCAGCTAGCTTTGTGAAACTTTCTGAAATTTGGTCCTACCTTGGCTGGCAGTGGAACTGAGCTATCAGTGGTCTTTGTTTATGCTGTAGTGAGATAATTGTATTGACACAATATCTGGTATCAAAATGTAGTCACAGGATATTAAAATTTGCACACGCAAGTGGTTGTACTAGTCATATTTAAGAAAGAATATTCATGTTCCACTTTGTACCTTTGCAGTTTTACTTATTAGTTACCCCAAACAAGCCTTGCACAGATCCCTCACCTCACTTCTTTCAAATAAAAAAAAGGAGGGACCTAAAGCAATCATGTTTATTTGAGAAAACTGAAAGGACACAAGGTTGACAAAAGTTTCCTGACCTACTTGGCCTGCATCTGATATTCTTTAAAGAAACTGACTGCAGAGATACTGGAGGTAATGGTGGTGACCTTCCAAACTTCCACAGATCCAGCAGAGGACCTGCCGGACTAGAAAACCACAAATATAATACTATTATTTAACAAAGGGGGAAGGTGGGAAATAGAAAAAAAGGAAACTATAGGCCAGTTAGGCGAAGATCAACCATTGGGAAAATGTTAGAATCTTTTGAGGTAATAGCAGGACATCTAGAAAATATACAGAGTCAACATAATTTTCTGAAAAGGAAATTATTTTTGACCTTTATTTGAAATTCTTTGCGAATTCAATAAGCAGGACAAATAAAAAGATGGCTAGCAAGAGATGCAGTGTACTTGGATCTCAATGATATTTGATCATATACTACATAAAATTACTGTATCAAGTCAAGTGCTTAGTGTTGGGGATAATATTTTAGCAAGAAGACGAGTTGCTAACCAACAGGGGAGATGGGCAATTTTCAAGTTGTAAACTGTAACCTGTACAGTTGCTTTGAGATTACAGCTGAGACTTCAATTATTTACATCCATTTTATTCTAGACAAATTTGACGACAAAGCTAGGTTTTAAAAAAAAAGTCTGCAAAACGAAACAGATAGGTTAAGTAGGCAAAATTTGGCAGATGGGTGCATAACAAGGGGAAATTTGATGTTGTCCACTTCAGTAAAAGAAGAGATTAAATTAAAATTGTGAAAACTGCAGAAAATCTGGGTGCCCTTATACATGCATCACAGTAAATAGAACAGAGTATAAATGTACAGGAGTCTTGCTAGACTTGTACAGGGCATTGGTAATATATGACCACACCTGAAGCGCAGTCTGCAATTTGGATCTCTTTAAGGAGGGATTTATGTACGTTGTAAATAATTCAGAGAAGGTTCAATGAACTGATTCCTGTGATGAAGGTGCTCTTATTAGGAAAGACTAAACAGGTTGGGAGTCAAAGGTGGTGATGTGGTACATGCAGGAATGTGGTGTCAAAGGCTACAATCAGGTCAATCATGATTTTGTTGATTGAGGAGCATGCTTGATGGGTCTAATGACCTATTCCTGCTTCCATAAAATTTATGGTTTTATGAATCACACAATTGTTGTTTTCTCTGAAAACAGACACGATCAGTGTTCTTCACATCCATCAGCTGTTTTGCCAATCTCATACAGGCTATCAAAAAAAGTTCACAGAAAGAAATTCAGACTAAAACCAAAAAAGATTTGCTCATTCAAGAGGTTGCCTGTGCCATAGCCAATTTCCATTACCTTTGGGTTTTTAATTTTAAAACATAACTAAGATAAACAAGTGAATGTTACAACATTGAGCTCCCTCCAATTCATTTCAAACAAACTGTTTGATATACATGGTTGCATTCTCAGAATCCAAAGATTGAAGTCTTGGGTTTGGGTTCACACATTCCAGTACATGATCAAGATTGACAATGAGAATGTTGCATGCCAACATGGGACTGAAAGTGTTGTATTTAAATGCACACAGCATATGAAACAAGGTAAACGAGCTCATCGTGCAGATTGAAACTGGCAGGTACAATGTTCTAGTCATCACAAGGACAGGATCAGGGCTGGGAACTAAATACCCAAGGAAACATATCCTAATGAAAATAACAAGTCGATGGACAGAGGGAATGGGTTTTCCTTGTTAGTAAGAAACAAAATTTTAAAAAATCGATAGCAAAAAGAAATCTAGACCAGAAAGCACAGAACCTGTGTGGGTAGAGTTGAGGAAGCACAAAGGGAAAGAGAAACCCTGATGGGAGTTACATACAGGCCCTCCAGAAGTAGTCAGGATGTAGGGCCAAAAATAAAATCAGGAGATAGTGCTTTTCTTAAATACCTTTACTATTACAATAATCATGAGGGACTTTAATATGCAGGTGAACTGGGAAATTCAGGTTGGTAGTTGACACCAAGAAAAAAGGAATTCATGGAATGTTAACACAATGATTTCTTGGAGCAGCTATGGTGGAGCCTACTAGGGGCAGTGACCACAATATGATAAAATTCACCATGCAGTTTGACAGGGAGAAACTGGAATCAGATGCAGTTGTATTACAAATGGAGTAAGGATAACTACAAAGATACAAGAAGGAACTGGCCAGAGTTGACTGGAAGGGGATCCTAACTGGGAAGGCAGTGCAGCAGCAGTGGCAGGAGTTTGAGGATAATTCAGGAGGAATTAGAACAGTAGAAATTCATCCCAAGGAAGGTGAAATATATAAAGAGGAGGGTGAGGCAACCATGGCTGATAAAGGGAAGTCAGGGATAGCATAAAAGCAAAAGAAAGAATATACACTGTGGTGAAGATTAGTGGGAAGCCAGGGGATTGGGATGCTTTTAAAAACCAGCACAGTACAGGTAAAAAAAGTAATAAGTGGGGGAGATAAAATATGGAGGGTAAGCTGGTAATAAAGAAGATTGCAAGAGTTTAAAATTTATTAAAAAAGTAAGTGAGCCAAGACTGGACATTGACAACTGGAAAATGGAGGATGAAAAATTAGTAATAGGGAACAAAGAAATGGCAGAGGAACTGAACAGGTATTTTGTATCAGTTTTCATAGTAGAAGACACCAGCAACATACCAGATCTTTGAGAGAGTCAGGGGCGGAGGTAAGTGTTGAGGCCATCAACAAGGAGAAAAGTGCTGGGGAAGCTGGAAAGTCTGAAGGTGATTAAATCATCTGGACCTGATGGACTACACCTCAGTGCTGAAGAAGAGCACAGAAGAGCTTATGGAGGCATTGGTGGTTATCTTTCACGAATCATCAGAGTCAGGGAGAGTCCCAGAGTATTGGAAAAATGGTTAATGTAACAACACTGTTTAAGAAGGGAGGGAGTCAAGATGAGAAATTATAAACCAGTTAGCCTGATCTCAGTCATTGGTAAGTGCATGGTAAAATAGGACAGAGTCAGCACAGCTTCATCAGGAGGCTGAATTCAAATCTGTCAGAATTCTTTGATGTAGTAAACAGGTTAGACAAAGGAGAGCTGGTGGATTTGATCTATTTGGAATTCCAGAAGGCCTTTGACAAGGTGCCTCAGGAGGGTGCTACGTAAGATAGAGCCCACAGTATTAGAGGCAAGGTACTCGATAGAGGATTGGCTGATTGACAAAAGGGATAAGGAATAAGACTGGCAGACTAGGGATAAAAAGGGATCTTTCTCAGGATGGCAGCCAGCCAGCCAGTCACCAGTGAAGATCTGCAGGGGTCAGTGTTGGGACCACAACTACTCACATTATACATTAGTGATCTGTACAAAGGAACGGAGGACATTTTTGCGAAGTTTGTAGATGGCACAGATATAGTGGAGGAAAAAGAAGCAGGAGGCTGCAGAAGGACTTGGACTGGCATGGAAAGTGAGCAAAGAAGTAACAAAAGGAATACAAATGTGGGAATGTGATATTATGCACTTTGGTAGGAAGACATTTTCTAAATGGGGAAAGACTTCAGATTTCTGAAGGATAAAATGACTTAGGAGTCATAATTCAGGATTCTCTTAAGGTTAACATGCAAGTTCAAACGGCAGTTAGGAAGGCAAACGCAATGTTAACTTTCATTTCGAGAGAACAGGAATACAAGAGCAAGGATGTACTGCTGAGGCTGTGTAAGACTCTGGTCAGACCACATTTGGAATATTGAGAGCAGTTTTGGGCTTAATATTTAAGGAAGGATGTGCTGGCCTTGTAGGGAGTCCAGAATGATCCCAGGGACAAAGGGTTCATCAGACGAGGAGCAGTTAAGGACTCTGTGCGTTGGCACTCGGGAGTTTAAAAAGGAGGAGACGGCATCTCATTGAAACAGACAGAATACGGAGAGGCCTGTATTGAGTGGACATGGAGATGATGTTTCCACTAGTAGGAAAGGCTAAGACCCGAGGACACAGCCTCAGAGTGAAGGTGGCAGCATTTTAGTACGGAGATAAGAGGAAATTTTTTCAGCCAAGGGTAGTGACTCTGATGAATTCATTGCCACAGAAGGCTGTGAAGGCCAAGTCTTTGAGTGTATTTCAGACAGAGATAAACCGGTTCTTGATTAGTAAGGGGATCAAGAATGATGGAGAAGACAAGAGAATGTCAGAACAGACTCGACTGGCTGAATGGCCTAACTCTCCGAACTTTTAATGTTCTTATTGTCAGAATTGCTATCCTTCAAAAAAAAAAAAAAAACTAAACCAAATCCCTGGGATTTTGTTTATTGTGCAAAGGCTGTTTCATTTGCCATCATAACAGCAAGTGCCTTTCAAATTAAAATCATACTTGAAAAATTAATGAAATGATACAGCAATTAGAAGTGTTAATTCTCTAATGAACTTTAGCTTAAGTGAAAAATAAAATGGTATACTGCAAAAATAATCTGTGGTCAAAAACATATTTAAAACAGAAGAGTTAACAGATTCGCGCAACATATGACTAGCTCACCATTGTTCATACTCTCTCTAACAATGAAATATATTGCAGCTTTTTAAAAGTTTGACTCAAGTCGTCTTCAATAAGTGTGTCAAAACTGTAAATTTGAATATTTGAAGATAAAATGAAAAGCTAGTCAAAAATGGCAGATGCTGAGCTGCCTGAGTGTTAAAAGTAGTCACCATAGATGTTTGCTTCAATTTTGCATCTTCAGTCAATTTTTCAAGTGTCTCCAATTCTGAAAATTGAAAACATTATGTAAATCTTTGCAACAGTTCAAACAGTAAAAGGCAGTATGACTTTTTATTGAAAAAGTACTGAAGCATGGCATTTGATCATAATACATATCAAGGATGTTATGAAAACAAGTTACAGGCTGGCAATTCATTTTTATGATCCCTTCAATAGTAGTAAGCTAAATTCCAACTACCTGCCTGAGGTAGATCTCACCACTGCCAATGCATGTACCAGACATGCAGTGCATTCAACTGATGTCACAGAACAACAATATACTGATCAGCACAAGTGTGCGTTGACATTTAAAATTACTGAACCAGGGCAAAAAGATTTTGCTGAACTGCGAAGGCCAGTGGATGCAAAAGCTGGAACGTGTTGCCACTTTGCCATTAGTCACTCAAATCATGGAATATGCTGACTTTTATCCAGCCAAGCCCATATTAATGCTAGAGTCACAAATACAAATACCACCATGTCAATTGGGGAAGTTAAATTTAGTTAATAAATTTAGAATTAAAATCCTCATAATAACAATCAAAATGATCACGTTACTACCAGCTTCTCTCAAAATTTGTCCTGTACAAAAGTGTCCTTTTGTTTTCTAACCCAGTCTGTCTCACATTTCTAAAACCAGTACTTTCATAGGATGTGGGGGTTGATGGCAAGGCCAGGATTTGGTAACCATCCCTAACTGGCCAAGAAAGGGAGTCGCTTTTTTGAAACAGCTGTTGTTCATTTGGTGCAGGTACACCCACAGAATGATGTTTGAAAGGTAGTAAATTGTCTCAGCAACAGTGAAAGAACAGCAATAAATCTCCAAATTAGGATGATGTGCATCTAAAAGGGAAGTTTCAGCTAATGGTGTTCCCACAGATCTATGGCTTCAGTCCTTGAACACAGAAGAAATTAGATCATTAGATTGGAAGGTGCATTTGAAAGATGCATGATATACGGTACACATTGCAGCTTTGGCCTGGGTGGTGTTAAGGTTTTTGATTATTGTTGCAGCTGCAGTTATCCATGCAAGTGGAAAGTATTTAATCATTTTCTTGTCTTGTGGACAAGTTTTGGGCAGCCAGGAGGTGAACTACTTGATGTAGAATTCAAAGCCTCTGACCTAAATCATTCATTAATAGTATTTAGGTGGTTGGTCCAGTTCAGTTTCTGGTCAATAGTGCAACATTCAGCAATGGTAGTACCAATGAACATGATGGGGATGTTCAAAGAATATACTTGTATCGTGGACTAATACTGGAAGACATGGAAGCGTTTGGACACTTGCTGGATTAAGAAGAATTTTCACCGTGTGGTTTCTTGGGGGGAAGAAATGGACTTAATGTATGCTGTGGTTGTTCTGCTATTTACAGAATGTCAAATAATTTTCATTGAGCAAGAAAGCAAAAAGGTTTTCGGGGGATAAGACTTATTAGGTTTATGGCCTTTAATTGCTAGAAAACCTAGCTTTTGAAAGAGACTATAGGGGGCTCTGTGTTAATGATTGCCTAGCAATACTTTCTGGACTTGATTTCTGTTTTCGTTGACTTAGGTGGTCAGTAAAAAAAAATCCAAAAGCCCACACAATGACCTTGAATTTTCTAAAATAAACTGCTTATGTTTCTGGCTAACTTTCACTTGCACCCCAATGTTTCCCTCATTAATTCTTTGGATAGGTTATTTAAAAAACAACAAAAAACGACCATTTGTCTGACCTACCACTTACATTTGTACAATTACGTGCTCTTTTTAATCTAAGACTATGATACAGTTCTAGTCAGTCAACTAGAAGATAGTGGCTTGGTCCCTTAGAATCTCACTTGCTCGTTGGAATGAGTTCATTCTGTGTATTCTGAAATAGTCCCTTAAACTTCTCCCACTGAATTTGCAAATTCAGTTTCGCCAGCTCTGCTTTTATATTTGCCCTTTAACATTTATAAAATAATTTTCATTGATCCATGGTTGATTTCCAGACTTGATGGTAATGATAATGTGGGAGATATGCTAGGTCAAGAGGTTATAGATTGTGTTATAAGACAATCCTGCTGCTGCTGCTGATAGGACTAGCAACTCACCACTGGGTATCAGAGGTGCTATGAGCTAAGTCTGTACATTTAGCACAGTGGTAATGCCACACATGGAGGGTATCCTCAATATGAAGGTGATATTTGCACTGTGGCCATTCCTACCAACATCATTTACAGACTTATCTGCAGCAGGTAGACCAGCAAAGATGAAGTCAAGTAGCCTTTTCCTTCTGGTTGTTCCTTCATCACTCACTGCAGAATCAGTCTAGCAGTTATGTCCTTCATGACTCAGCTAATTTAGTCTGGAGTGGTGCTACCAAGCCACGGTTGGCAATAAGACGTCCAAGTTCCCCAACAAGAGTACATTCAATACTTTTGCCACCCTCAGGTGTTTCTTCCAAGTGACATTCAACATGCACTGATTCTTTAGCCAAAGTGAAATTGTTGGTGGTAATTACCAGGTGGTTTTCTTGTCCGTATTTGACCTGATGCCATTAGATTTCAAGTGGCCCAATGTTACTGTTGAGCACACCCAGGTCTAAACACCACCTCTAGAAAGTCTGTCCTGCTGGTGGAACAGAAAACACCCAAGGATGTTAATGGTGGCGTCTGGGATGGAGTCACACTCAGTGGAATTCTACCTCGTAGACCAACAATGTCAGGTTGTTGCTGAGCTGGTCTGCAGGGCAGCTCTTCCAATTTTGAAAGAAACCCACAGAAAGGACCTTGCAGGACCAATAGGGCTGTCCTTGCCATTAGAGTTACTTTAGTCACTATCTGTTGGTCTGTTCAATTGCATTACTTTGCATCAAACAGCTACAAAGTCTAAACAGTCATTTCAGACAGGAGTTAACAAATCAACCTCATTGCTTTTGGTCAGGAGGTACACAGACAGACCAGGTTAGTGTGACAAATTTCTATCCTTAAACAAAAAAAGAAACAAACATTAAATGAAATAGTCATAATGAAGCGAGCCTTTTAATTCCAGATATTATGGAATTCAAATCTCATCATTTGCCACAGTGAGATTTGAACCCATCCTCCCAAACGTTAGCCTGGAGTTCTGGATCACTCATCCAGTGACATGACCAGCATACTACCATTATAATGATGCTCATTGTCACTCAGTCCCTTTAGTTCACTACCATGGAGGACTGAAATATGATGGCTGAAGCCTCAATAATCCCTACCCACTTCTTTTAGTAACCTAGGATAAGTGCCATCTCGCTCTGGTGCATTTTCACGATTCAAAGACAACAAACCCTTAATACTTCCCATCTTGTAATATTTATTCCAAATATTTTACACTTTTCCTCTCCTTAATCACACCACAAGCCCTCTCTTTCATAAAGACTGCCACAACATACATTGAGATCCTACACACATTCTCCACCTCTCGTTAACTTTTTAGTCCCCAATAGGCTCTAAATATTCCTTAAATATCTTCTTCCTAGTTATGCATTTACAATATTTGGATTTTATTTACCAGCATTTTTCATTGCTTAAGTTGTTTAAATTTTATCCCTACATTTTCTGTACTGTTATAGAGTATTTTCAGTAGTAATTTGTACCTGACACAAGTTTTCTAATTTTGTTCACATCTATGCACCTTGTTATTCAGAGCTAAAATTTAGCAAGATGCCACTTTTTCTTCATTGGATCATTTACTCTAATCACTTGCCAGTGATAACGAATCTCCTCCTTGAATAATCCCAATTGCTCTGAAACCAAGTTACCTTTAAGTATCAGCTTCCCATCCACTTCTCAGCCTAGTAATATTGACCTTTCCCCCAATTAGAACCTTTAATCCCATTTTTTCCCCTATCTTTTCTCATCATTTGGTTAGATTTACCACATACAAGGCTGAGAGAGGCCAAAGAAAAAATGTTTGAACATTAGTAGGTCCAAAATATCTTTTGCAGTAAGGAACTAATTAATAATTATTTTACAGTCCATCCCTCATGGTTAAGGTGGTAGTGAGCTGCTTCTTGAACTGTTGCAGTCCATGTGCTGTAAGTAGATCCACAATGCCACTGCAGAATGAACTATAGGATTTGATCCACTGACAGTGAAGGTACAGTGATGTATTTTCAAGTCAGGATAGTGGGTGGCTTGGAGGGAACTTGCAGTTGGTGGTCCAACGTATTAGTTGACTTTATCCTTCTAGATACCGATCGTGGGTTTGGAAAGTGATGTTGAAAGTATGTCTTGTAGATGGTGCACACTTCTGCTACTCAGATTTGTGGATATGCCCTCAATGGTCTCAAGCTGCTAGACTGTTGTTGGAGCTACTCATCCAGGCTTGTATGTTGTAGATGTTAGAGAGGTCTGGGGAGTCAGGAGGTAAGAGTTACATGCTGCAGGACACCTAACCTCTGACCTGCTGTTGTATCTGCTGAATGTATTTGGTGAGTGCAGTTCAGTTCTAGTCAATGTTAATAGTTGGGGGGGAAAAACAAGTGAGGTAATGCCATTGAATGCTAAGGGAAGATGAGATGGTGGTCTCTTATTGGAGATGGTTTCGCCTGGTATTTTGTGGTGTGAATTATGAACAAACACTGCTAACTGACTGGTTTGGTTCTCCCTCTAGCACAACTCTAATATAGGCCTTCTTAGCAGTCTCTTTCCATTTAAAATAATGATCTCTTTCCATTTTCCCTACCCAAATACATGCTGCCCTGAACATAAGGCAGCATTTGACAATGTAGAATCAAGAAGTGCTGGCAAAATTGAAATCAACAATAAGTCAGTAGAAAGCTCATTATTGGTTGGAGTCATACCCAGCACTGGAGATATAGATTTATGCTCGTGGCTGAAATCATCTTAGCCCTAGGACGTTGGTGCAGCAGTTCCTCGGGGTAGTGTTCTAGGTCTAACAATTTTCATTTGTTTGTGTGTCCTTGCCTCCGTCACAAGGTCAGAATTGGGAATGATCATTGCACAATCAACAATGTTCAGCATCATTTGCAACTCAAATACTGAAGAAGTAGTCAGTGAGTGTCCATATGCAGCAAGACCTGTTCAAATTGAGGTTTGGGCTGAAAACCAGCAAGCCAACTAAAGTGCCAGTCAACGACTCTTTCTATTTAGAGACACAATCTAAAATCTGCCCTTGACATTCAATGTCATAACCAGTGAGTCCACCAGTATCAAGATCCTCGAGAGAGATTGACCATTTACAAAAATCTGAACTCACCAGCCATATAAAATTCCAAGCTACAACAGAAGGACAGAGATTGGGAAATCTGCAGTGGGGAATTTACGTCGCAACTTGTACACAATCCAGGACAAACAAGAAAGGCACAAAATCAGTATTCACCATTTACCTAAATAGGTGCAGCTCCAACAAACACAAGAAGCTTAATATCATTCGCTTGAAACAAAGGACCATCTAATATCTTCAGCATTAACTTCCTCCACCAGGTAGGGGTAGCATTATGTATTATTTCCAAAAAGTTTGGTTGCCCTCCAAGCTGCACCCCATCTGGACTTGGAGTTACATCACTTCCTCCAATCACCAGATCAAAATCCCGGACCTTCCCTAAGAAGAATACGGTTGGTGCACCTTCCCACCCCCAAACCCGACTGCAACAGCTAAGATGACAGCTCATAGCCACCTTCAACAGCAATTATGGATGTAAACAAATGTTGGCCTTGACAGCAATGCCTACAACCCATGGAAAAAAAAAAGATTGACATCCGTACATTATGTTTCTTCCATCACCTTGATGCCCAACCATATAACGAAGTTATATCGTTTTCTTGTAGCCTATTTACAACAAATTTTCACCAAACCTGGATGTTATACTCAGTCCCTTTACACAACTGATACAATATATTAGTTCTAATAGACTCCATTCCTGTCATAATCTGTTCTATTATTATAGCAAGAAACCAGTGAAAGGATGACTATCTAGGCAGTAACTTGCTGACATATTGGCATTGCTTATATCAACCATACGTGTTAAGTGTGCCATCATAGTGTTTCAGAAACTAGAAAATTCTGGAAACACAAAGAAGACTGTCACAGCAAGTTAAAGGAAGAGATTCCCAGTTCAAATGTAACCTCCAAAATGGAATAAAACAAAAAGTAACATTTCAGTTTATTTATCCCATCCTAAACTGCTTTATCTCCTGGTTCCTAATGTTCCCAAATATTAATACCTCCCTTTATATATTGGAAAAATATGCATTTTCAAAATCTCCAATTATTTACAAATTACCAACTTGCAATTTCTCCACCAATATTATGCTGGGGTTGATCCATGTAAACTCCTTCATTCCCACACCAATCTTTCACCCAAGCAGTAACCTTTTGACATGCTTATTCTTACACTAGTTAGCATGCAGTTGAGGCATTAATTCTATCATGTACATGAGGTACATTAAGATTTAGTCTCAAACTGTAGGTATTTCCTCATTAGGTCCACCTTGCTTTTGTTGCCCTTATCATTGGTCGCAAAATTGACCATGACTACTAGATCTTTCCCCAACCCCTTTTTCCAAGTTTCTCTCCAGTTCTTCTGCACCACATAGGCAACATAATCTTCTTATTTGTGACTTCAGAGAAAACTATCTGCCTCCCTTGTAGAATCTCTCAAGGACGTAACTTTCCCATTCTGCACTGTTTTTGAACTAGAAGTAGTCTTATTTACCAGTAACAAAATGTTTCTAAAGTTCAGAACTGTAGAATTCCTGCAAAATAGATCAACATCAAAATGCTTTATTATAATGCAATTTTGTTTTGCCTAAAACTTACCACAAGTTTTCTTCTTCAGTGTTTCTTGTGTTTGGTTAAGCTGTTGAGTGACACAAGCCAAATTAGCTTCTAGAAGCGTAATTGCTTCCTGAGGTTCTGGAGCAGTTGCTAAATGGTGATGAATCATTTCAGCTTGTTTCTTAATTTCAGCTACATCTGGTTCCAACAACTTGATGCATTTTACAACTTTAGTTTTAAACAAACTCTCCTGTTTTGGAAGAGTAGAGAGATTGCAGAATTACAGTTGCAAATCAGCAAATCACTGGATTAGAAATAGTAAATTTTTCAGACTCTAAATAACTATTAAACTTGCATACGATGTTAATAATGCGCTGGCTAAAAACTCAGGTTTAATTGTTCACATATTTGAAAATTAACTCTTTGCCCATTTTGTGACCAAAATCCATCCAATGGAGTGGAGGTGCACATGGTTAGGTTAGTAGCCAGTGGAATCTTCTGCCTTTTGTTTCCAGATCTCAAACCTGCCAATTTTGCATACAATAACACAGAAAAGTCAGTTACCTTCATTCAACCTTCCCTAAATCAAGATGAACTGCTAATTTAAAACAAAAAGAGAAAAATCAGTGTGCCTTTTATGATTAAGAAGCAGACAATGCACATTCTGGAGGCTACTACGGGGAAACAAAAAAAAAAAAGCAGACAAAATTGACCTTCACACAGCTACTGGCAAACAAATGGGGAGGAATTGAAATTGCACTTGAATAAATATTTTTCAGCTCTTTCCCAGTCAAATACATGCTCGTGGCTTAGCAGATTATGATTAAATTTTACACTATGTCCTACATACAATATAACATTTCAGTTAGTAGAAGAGTTGAAAATTTGGAGTGAATATCTGAAGATCATTGGCAGTGGCAGGATAGAACCAAAATTCCCGCAGCATAGAAACAGGTCATTCAGCCCATTAAGGCTACACCGACCCTCCAAGGTGCATCCCACCCAGACACCTCCCCACAACCAATCTCCTGTAACCCCAAATTGCCCATGGTGTTTAGGGATGTGCAGGTTAGATGGGTTAGCTATGGCCGGATTTCTTTTTCCCTTCGTAACCTCCAGAATGTGCCTTGTCTGCCACCTAATTAACCAAAGGCACATACCAATGTCTGTGAAATATGTCATAATATGTCCTGGAAGCCTGTCCTGCATTACAATCTGTCTGCATGCACACAGAACGTTGACAAACCGTGTGGAAAACCAATTTAGTGACAGCAACAATATCTCATTCACTCAACATGAGGAGGTCTTAAATTGTTTTAAAAGCTACACCTGTTTTATTGTCAAATAAAATTTGCTGGACGAAAACATGGCAACCCCTGATCATAGGGTGCAAATGTGCTACCTTTTTTCTGAAATATTCAAGCAAAAAATTAAAGAACAAAAGAAAATACTACTTCGAATAATCATACTCTTGCATCGTGTGGACCTTACAGTTTACAAAACCTAGGACCAGCAGATGAGATGTCTCCCCAGCTGAGAGAGTGAACAAAGCAGGAGCTATCAACACATGATCTCTGAAGTGGTGCTAATGACCCAACAGTCACCTCACACAAGCAACAATATCCATAATCAAAACTATAGGAACTCTCATTTAATTTGAAACTAACTAATCCAGGAACACTGTTTTATGACTAAATCTCCTGGTCCTGAAAAATGGTTTAATTGGTACTTTGTCTGAAGCCATGCTTCAGTCTGGCAAGCAGCACTTTTCTGATAACATTCAGAATTTCTGAAGAAGGGTCCTGACCCGAAATGTCAGCTTTCCTGCTCCTGATACTGCCTGGCCTGCTGTGTTCCTCCAGCTCCACTTCACTAGACATTGGTTTTGCAGACTCATGAATTCATGTGCATATCTTTTGAATTTTAAATTTGTCCTTTAATTGAAAACTCCTTCCTGCTTTGCTTTTGTGCATGTGTCTGCATTGTGATGAATATGCCCTAGATTTGAATTTAGAACCATACAAAAATTACAGCACAGGAGACCATTCAGCCTATTGTGTCTGCACCTGGCTGAATAAACTAGCCACATACTAATTCCACTTACTAGCACCTAGTCTGTAAGCCTTGCAAGTTACAACGCTTCAGATGCAGATTTAGGTTCCTTTTAAATAGCTTGAGGGTTTCCATGTCACCAGCTGAACTCGACAGCAAATTCCACATACCTACTACCCTCTCATTCCCAGTAATCCTGTGTTCCAGAACAGGTCTTTGCAGTCTACCCTATCCTCATTGTTTTGTACACCTCAAGTAAGTTGCCCCTCAGCCTCCACTGTCCAAAGGAAACAACCCTAACTGAGCCAATCTTTACACATACCTGCAATTTTCAAGCCCTGATTACATTCTTGTAAGTTTCCTTTGTAAACTCTCCAAAGCAGTATGTCCCTATGCCTCATGTGACCAAAACAATGCACAAAAAACTCCATCTATCCCTTAAGTAGTGTCCAGTATATTTCCAGCACTACATCCTAGTTCTTCAACGCCTTGCCCAATGCATCCCATAGGCTGCTTTGCCACCTTTTATCTATCTATTTGACGGCACGGCAGCTCACTGGTTACTTATGACATCAGGGCCTGGGTTCGATTCCATCCTTGAGCGAATGTCTGGAGTATGCACATTCTCCTGTGTCTGTATGGGTTTCCTCCAGGTGCTCTGGTTTCTTCCCACAGTCCAAAAATGTGCAGGTTAGGTGGATTAGCCATGCTAAATTGCCCATTGTGTAGAGGGATGTGCAGGCTAGTTGGGTCAGCCATGGGAAATACAGGATTACATAGGTGGGATGGGGTAGGGTAGGTGTGGGTGGGATGCTCTTCCACTGGGTCGGTGTGGACTCGATGGGCCGAATGGTCTGCTTCCACACAGAAGGATTCTATGATTCTTTGATTATCTAATTGCTATTCATGGGATGTATGCTCGCAACAAGAACCAGTAACGCTAAAACACGCATGTCATTATTAATAGCTTCACCGCACTTTATATAGGAATGTGTCAGGAACAGACAGACAATTAGACAAATCATTTAACAAGGACAACTCTAAAAACAGCTGGATGAGCCAGATGAAATTATTAGCCAAAACAGATTTGGATAAAGTTGAATATATTAGGTTCCAATAAGCAAGAGTATTTTGATTTGTGGAAACTATTTATCAATAAACAGCACGGAAGACTCTCTACAGCACTTATTTTCAGTTGAAAATAAATGCAAAATAAAAAAACCACATACCCGATTGCCATCTGGTTCAGCATCGACATCGGTAATGGAATCTTCATTCTGGTCAATAGCAACACATGCCTTGACCAAATTTTGAAAGATTTCATTGCGCTTTTCAATTCTGTCCTCTGTTAACCGATTTTCTTCCTTTTCTCTACATATTAAAAAGGTTAAAGAATTCATTGGATACTCAAGATGTTGGAAATCTGTGAGGACAAGGCGGCAAATGGAAAATGCTTAAAACTGAGAGGGCAATAATCTACTACAAAGAACATAAAATAGGTTAAGTGAGGGCCTGCACACTGAATGTGTGAAAATTAGGAGGTACACAGGCATCTGGAAGTGGGAGAAAATCTTATGGAGCAGGACTTTTTTTTTTTTTTTTTAGAAAGAAGAGAAATCAAACATATAAAAAAGTAGGCAGACAGCAATCAAGACATTAAACCAAAAAAAGGCCACAAATAGCTATGTAAGAATGAGGTTTGAAATATTAAAAAAAACCAGGTGTGATACTTTCAAAACCTGGTCTGGATACACATGAAACATTATAAAATTAGGACATGGCTAAAGCTTAGAATTACTGATAAAAAGTCTGGAAATGCCCTTAAGAAAACAGGTGCTGTTCTTGAAACTTGCACCATTCCATTGAAACTTATGGAAGGTCAATGTCGAATAGGTCACAATGGTGAGCATTTGCAGTTCTTGTTTATATTTTGCAGACAGACCAGACCGATTTTTAAACAAATTGGACAAACTAGATGCAGATTAGTTAACCAGTGTAGAGGGATCTGCTAGAATATTAGAATAATGGAAACATCAAGTGAAGCACTATTCCAAAACAAGGAAAAAAGATATATGGGACCCTGGTTAGGTTGTGAATGAACATGTTAAATATTCCACATTCGCAAAGGAAGGCTGTGGAGATCCAGAATCATGAAAAATGCCAAAGGGGAGTAAATAAGCAAAATGGAAGGGGGTTGAAGTTTGTTTGGTGGTATATTATGTTTTAGTTGGAGGAATGATGAAATGATGATTGTGGTGATGGAAGGTGCATCAGGGGACACAGTTGTGGGAAGACATAAGCAGGTGCCACCATAGGCAATGGAATTGTTCAAAATAGTATAAGAACTCTAACATGGTACAATAATAATTATGTGCAGTGGATTATCACTTCCATTTTCTAGTAGTGCCCACTTCATTTAAAAAAAAATAAAGAATAGTGAAAACATTCTTTTGTGTTATGATGCTATTTTAAAATATTGTGTGAGAAACCGATAGCAACATTTGACAGCTGCACATGTGCAATTAAACACTGAAGTCCACAAGTATAAAATTGAGGTATCCAAGTGTGATACTATAATAATATCCTTCAACCTTTCCTTTTATTATCATTGTAAAAGGTAAAAAAAGCTATGCATTGGTGAGGAGGTCCAACAAGCCACATCCTGTTAAACAAGAGGGCCTCAATTTTTTTTAAAATCACTTATGGGAGGCATCTATTGCCCAACCCTACTTGCCCTCTAGAAAGTGATGGCAAGTTGCCTTCTTGAACTGCTGCAATCCAGTTGGTGTTGGGAACAATCACGACACCTTTAGGGAGACAGCTTGCTGCAAGATTCACACTGTATGTATACAGGTCTTATCCAAGATACAGATAGTGGACAAATTCAGTGATGGCAATGCCATTGAATGAGAAGGGGCAGTGATGAGATTCTCTCGTGTTGATGATGGTCATTACTTGGAACATGAGTGGCATCAAATTTTACTTGCCACTCATCAGCTCAAACCTAGATATTGACTGCTTCAGTTTCTGCTGAGTCACAATGGTGCTGAACATTTCACTGATGATCACACAAATCTTCACTTCCTGACCTTATAAACGGAGGGAAGTTCATTGGTGAAACAGCTGAAGGTTTTTGTTTCCTGCGTCTTCTGCCCCCTTTTCTAGTGGTTGATGCAACTGAATAGCTAGGTATGCTAATTCGGAAGACAGTTCAGAATCAGCCACATTACAGTGGGTCTGGAGTCAAACATAGGCCAGAACAAACAAGGACAGCAGTTTCCTTACCTAATAAAAGGACACTAGTGAACCAGATTTTGTTTTTTTGAAATTGAACCCATTTTCAGAAATGTCATTACACATGTCTGGAACAAGTGGGACATGAACCCAGACCTCCTGGTCCAGGGGTAGGGACACTACCACTGCACCAGAAGATGGACACCCAGGTTGGTTTTTAAGACAAATGATTTCTGAAGTCAGCATTAGACTTAATTCCAGATTTTCTTTTTTTTTTTTTTTTTTTTTTTTAAAATTGAATTCAAATTCAATCATCTTCCACAGTGGAATTCAAAACCAGGTCCCCAGAACATTGCCTGGGCACCTGGATTACTAGTGACAATACAACCAG